GCGCTTACAGTACCTATAAATGTCCCAAATAAACCCAAATATCAGTCCCAATGCCTACTCGGCCAATTTCAAAATTTTAGCACGATGGCTCTGTCGTGCTTCGGTGACAGCACCGCCGCCTGCGGCGGCAGTCCGCCTCGGATCGACTGTTTTTGGCCAAATTCGGTCGATTTTACATCGATTCCTGCGATCACACACTCTAAAACGCCACGGTGGGCCAAAAAAACACGAAAAATAGAAACTCACCTGCGGCGAGACTCTCCGGTGAGGCGGCTCCTCCGGCTCACATTACAGTTCGGTATTTTGCTTCGGTCAACCTGTAAAGAGAAAAATGGTGATCACAATGGTAGAAAAATTATACGAAACGAGAATCGGGAAGGGCTTCATCGGAGGCGGTTTGTGAAATTCTCCGCGGTGGCGCCGTCGGGCTTCAGCGGCGTTTTTCGGCCAATTAGCCAGTTCTTTCACTCCAATTTGACCATGGATGGGTTTAAAATTGAATTTCGTGCAAAAGGAGAAAGTTTTACCTTTTTTGGCGATCAGAAAAGGTTCCGGTGCGGCAGTGAGTGGCAACGGCCGGCTCCCTGGTGGCTGGGTTGTCTTTTCCGGCGATGGGTTCTGGCGGCTAGGGTTAGAGTTTGGATGCGGATGAGGTTATTTATATCCATCCACTTTTGATCTGGGCCATCTATCATTTTTAATCTGAGTCGTCCGATCGCGATTAAATAAGAAGTGAATCTGGACCATTAATCGCGATTTAATCTGGGCCGTCCATGCGCGATTCAATCTGTACCGTCCGCACGCGCGGGAACGGATCTCAGCCGTTCGATCGCGCGTACGTGGATCGCCCGCGTGGTTCCCCCCGCGTGGCCTCCCATGTCAATGCCTCTGTCACTTGGCGTGTCTTGGTTGGTCAGGGTTGCTGACCGAGCATCTGACGTGGCGCAATTTTTTTAAATTACATTTTGACCTCCGGTTTCTGATTTTTCTTTCAAAAATACTCTCAAAACTCAAATTTTCACCCATTTTTTTTAAAATTATTTTTAATTTAATACTTAACAAATTTTTACCTTTTTTTATTAAATTAAAATAAAATAAATAAATAAATAACTATATTTAAAAAAAATAAAAACAAATGTTGGTTGTTACATAAAGTCTCCCGTTATGGATAAATAATTCTTAGATTTTACTTACTTTACTATCTTTTAAATTTATCTCATAAAAATATATTTGTGTAATTACTTAAAAATTATATTTAATTAAAAAAAAGATTTTGGCAAAAAAATAATCATATATAAATAAATTAAACATGTCAACCTAATTAGAAATATAAAACTAGTAACCAATTTAATTGAGTTAAATCCGTGGGACACTATATATTTAATTGTCTAAACTTATTTATTATCAAACTTTTTTATTAGTTTACTAATAATGATGGAATAACCATATGAATATAAATTTAATAGTTTATAGATTTATTTGAATAATTTATTATTTCAGTTATTTAATATATATATATATATAGTTTAATTTTGTTATTAAATACAGATTTTTTATATTATTAATATTACTAGTAGTAATAGTATGTGGAGGCCATATGATCTGGGGTCAAAACACAATTGAACAAACCAAGAAGGCTTTGACCCAAATAGTCTGGCCCGATGGCTACCCCAAGCCCAAGCATTAACTGAGAATTAATAATTATGTATATATTTCGTAATTTGAATAAATTACTAAAAAGTATTATGATAATTTTATTGTTAACTTAAAAAATTATGATAGTTTTAATATTACACTTAAATTTAAGGGTTAAACTTAAAGGTAGAAATCAACTTATAATTATTGATATTTTCCCGAATTTCTTTAACTAAAATTTTGAAGATTAAATTTAATTTTTCACGACCAGACTTTATGATTTTTTTTTCATTACTAAATTTTCTCGTTGAAATTAGTTTAATTACTTATGATTTAATCTCTGAAATTCCATAACTAATTTCTTGGGAATCGGAAATTTAAAATTAAATATAAGTTAAATTTTTGGGTTATTACAATTGGTTTAGTTAGGTAGATTTTTGAACTAACTAAGTAGTGATTTACACCAAAGTGGTTTTTTAACGCAAACCTCAGAATGAAAACTTACACAGCCCCAAGAGATGGAGAAGTTTAAGTTGGATTGAACATTAGCGGAAGCAGCAGCAGTAGGTTTCATTTTCTTCTTAAACAATTTTTTAATCTTCCGCCCAAACCTAATAATCATCATGTGTTCGTCTTCCTTCTCGGCAATTCCCTTGTGGAGGGGACAGTTTCTTAGATACTTCTGTATCCAACTTACAGTAATATCTTCAAGGCTGCCTCCAGAAGAACAATCAGAAACTCCTCCTCCTCCCAGCTTCTCATATAATTCCTTTTTGGCCCAAAAATTCCATAAAGAAGAACGCACATGTGTCTTCTTCTCTCTGCTGCAATGCTTCACGTCGTTGTCTTCCATGCTGCCGACGAGTTTTCTCCACATGAATTTGGCATCCGATTCCGCCATCCGAAATAGCTTGTCAATACTTGCTTTCACTTGATGCTCGACGTCCTCAGTGGCTGATGCTACTCTGCTTGAACGCATCTTCTTCTTCTTCTTTAAATGGATGTAGAAATTCCGAGTAAGTGTCAATCGATATCAGAGCTTTTTGGTTTTGCTTTGTTGTGAAGAACTGGAGAACAGACACATATATATATATATAGATCGAGATGGATCAGATATGGTAATGTTTTCTAAACTACTGGATTATTAGATTTGTTGTTATTTTAGTCTTAAAAGGGAGTGGATGATTTATCCAAATTAGTGATGCTGAATTAGTAAACTCTTAAATTTTCTAATAACCTTCATAATTTTCCATAAATCAATCATACAAAATTATTTCCTATCATGATTCTGATATTTTCCTCTTTAAAAAATTCTATTAGATTTATTATTATTTTCTTCTTAAAAGCGAATATATGATTTATCCATTAGTGATATTTTCCTCTTTCATTAAATGTCCATTAAATCAATCATACAAAATTATTTTGTCTTTAAAAAATTTGTAGCCCTCTTTTCTTGAAAGAAAAGTGCAGCGAGGAGAGGTCCTGCTGAGCTTCAAGGAAGTTTCTGGAGGAACTCGTGTTACATTTGAATGCTGTCGCTCGGGTCCTTGCGTTCCCTGCCTCTCTACTCTGAAAAGGTTTTGATCTCTCCTTTGCTTTTGTTTGGTTGGATTCGTTTTCGGGTAAAATGAATCTTTATTCATGTCTGGTTCCAATGAATCCAGTTTTTTGGCGGTGAATTTTGATGTAGCCTTGAAGGTGATAAAAGGTTAAAAAAGTTTCCAATTCGATTTTAATTTTCATTTATCTTTCGTTTTGGTTACTTACTTAGCTTTGCTATTTGGAATTTTTCAAAGTATTATTATACTGGTATAGCATTTGGAGTGGAGCACATGTTAGTTTAAGTGAGTTTTCTGTATCCCAGTGGAGATTAGTATCATGAATCATAGAGTTTCAAATTAATTTCTTCATTTGTCTATGTTGAGACTGTATCCGTTGATATTTAGTACCAGACTGTGTTCCATGGAATAGAATAGGAATGAAAAAACAACAGAAATGTGAGAGAATATTCTGATTTCAATTTAGTTTTATATCTAATACAAATTAAATGTTTTTCTACTTCCTTCATTGATAAGTGGGGGTACAACTTCTCGCTCATAGATTTGATATATATATATTATGGCTAACTTCTTCTTATTAAATATTAAACTAGAAATTGAATGAGAATAGAATGGTTTTGAACCTATTTATCTCACTTCTAAGATAAATCGTAAAATTTTTCTTACGAAAATGGGTCTAAAACAGTCCCAGAAAATTCATTAAAAACTTTCTGGTTTCGGGAGTTTTTCTCCCGACTCCGGTCACCGTTTCACTTCGATCTTGTTCCTAAAACTTACTAAGAGAATGTTTAATCAATCGTTCTGTCCTTTTTTTTTTTTTTTTTTTTCCGCGGCGGCGACCTGCTGATTTCTCTGTTTTTTCCTTCTTCTGCATATTCTCCGTCTTCTTTAAATGCAGCAGAGGGCTTGTTCTTTCCTCGTTTTTCTCCGTCTGGCTGCAGCAGACGCGGTCTTCAACGTCTTAGTTTAAATTAAAGCTCGTATATTTAACGCTAAGTATACTTAATTTATTAGACACCAAGTATCAATTTCTTTGCAAGATAATATAAATTATTGTCACGGGCTTTCTCCACAGGTAGATTTAACGTTTTAATTTAAAAACTCGTGCACTTTGTTAATATATATTTGTTAAGTTAACGTCAAATGTGAAATTAGGATAATTCGTACCACACACCAGTTTTTATAGAGTAAAATTGGGATCACTAAGAAATAGTTTTATGACTTTAATATATGCCATGGATTCTTAATTCAAAACAAAAAATAATGAGATTAGAAAATGAAAAAGAATGGAGGATTTAGTTAACTAATAAAAAAAAAGTAAGTGGGAAAACCTAAAAGAAAATGTACAGAAGGAAAGTTCTAATTTTTTTTTTATTTGATTTAATTCTCAAAAATTCTAGCCATTACTTACCCAATGAATGATTATTCTTTTTGAGAGTTCAATCAAATAAGAAAGAAACTAAACATTGAGATTTATATAATTTATTTACAAAGAAATTCTTATTGACGTATCATCTGCACTAGCGACTTCCAAAAGCCAATCGATGAATATTTGATTCTTCATATTTCCTTCGAACTTTTTTGTATAATCGGAGCCAGATTCCCTCAACAAGATAAAAGTGGCAAAAAAGTTTATATAACCATTAACCCAGAAAATATATATGTACACATTTTTTTCTCTGTTTCAAATGCTTATCATATCTGCTTAACAGAATTTTAATCCCTAGGTCGATTAAACGAAATAAAAAATGAATAATAAATTGGTTGCCCCCAAAGTGTACCAAAGAAAACCTAAAAAAATACCGGTCAAAAAGGACGGAAAAATGGGCGTAATCCTTTGACATTAGCGAAAAATCCAACCAGATCTTGCCTGTACGGAAGATAAGACTTGTGTTTATCCACTTCCTTGAGCGCCCTGTTTCTCACGTAATGCATTTCGTGCGCCGACGACACGGTTTCTACCTTCCCTTTTCTCGTCCTCACGATCTTCCCTCCCGCTCCCTTCCCACTCTCGCCGCCCTTCCCATTTATGGGCTTCTCGTTGCTTCTTTTAGCATTCTTTGGCGACGACGACAGGTTTTTCTCGTGATTATTGCTATGTTTATTGTTACGGTTATGGTTATGCTTAGGGCTATGGTTATGGTTCAAGAAAACAAACGCGTCTTTGCCGTCACTGTTGCTCCTTTGAACCAGTTCTCGAAATCTCCACAGCTTAGAGAACCCCGTCGAATTGCTCTTTTTGCAGGTCCCTGGCGATGCTTCCTGTACAGTTCTCGCCGACCACTCGCAATAAGGCCCCATCGGCGATTCTGATTCCGAAGAGGCAAACGTAGCATCTTTTCCTCCCTCCACAAACAATTTCTTCAACGGAGGCCGCAGGGACATGGCCTTATCAGCAGCCGAAACGACGCCGTCTTGGTGGCCTTCGCCCAAGATGAGATCTGTGTTGAAGAGCGGGAAAACGGTACGGATCTGGCCGTTTTGGAACACATCGTCTGCGGTTGCCGGTGATCCATCAGGATTCATGCAAACAAACGAGAACTCCTCTTCCTCCTCCTCCTCCTCCTCCTCATCATCATCATCGTGATCGTTATCGTGATCATGATGATAATTTCCTTCTCCTTCATTAACATCAAAAGGTTCTTCTCTCCCTTCTTCCTCTTCTTCTTCTTCTTCTTCTTCTTCTTCTTCATGTTTTTGGTCCGTGACGGTCAATTTATCAGAGAAATCCTCGATGAACTTACCGCATGTCTCTGCAAATTCATCTGTTCTACTGGAAGTTGGAAGCAAAAGAGTTGAAGAATGTTCCATCGCCTGGAAAATATTTGGTCACTGAGATTTATGAACTAGGAAAAAGCTCAGGTAGGGTTTTTATAGAAGAGAGAGCGGTAAACGTCAACGACTGAACGAGTTGTTGGGAGAGGGAGAAATGTGAAATAAAATATTCGATCTGGATTGGGGTTTGCTAAAGAAGTTATTGACAGAGAAACCAAAAAAAGAAAGGCGCGTAAAGAGCCGAAACGTTGACGGGTCGCCCCGAAACACGGCCCATTTTCTTTTTATTGTTTCCCTCTTTTAGACCGGCAACACAATGAAGAGCCAATCATAGTATTCTTACAACACGTGTTATTGCTGTTCGCACGGTCCGGGGCGTGGTCATGCTGATATGGTTTCGGATTCTAGAAGGTCTTCGCTCATTGGCTGGGCGTGTGAGGGTTTGTTGACGCTATGTCACCCGTGGGTTAGGTTGACTTTTCAAAGTCAAAACTCTATTTATACATTTTAGTTTTTTTTTTTTTTTTTTTTTAAAGTATAATATTTGGGTGAGTGTGGGTTAAGTTTATATATTAATTAATGATGTCATATATGACGCAATTAAGGAATTGTATTGAACTGAATATTCTGTTATTATCTTTGAAGATAAATGAATTTAAAAAAATGTAATAGAAAGTAATATAAAAAAAACTTAGTTAACTTCTGGCATGATAAGTGCTTATACGACACATTTTCATACGGTATGGCGTATGTGAGTATATACATATATATACACCCAGGTAGAGCTGAGCCAGATTTGATGAAGAATTGTATAAATAAAAATAGTTATTTCTTTAAAATAATTGTAACGTAGATATAAGGAACTCAAGTACAAATACAACCCATTTTATAAGGTATGACGTAATGTGAGAATATATATATATATATATATATAGATATAGATATATAAATATATAGAGCTGAGCTAGATTTGATGAAAAATTGTATAATAACCCGAATGAGTTATTTCTTCAAACTATTTTTAACATAGATATAATTAATTCGAATTCAGTTTTAAATTTATTCAATATATAATAAATTTTATGAGTTAATATATTCAGGGAAAGAATATATTTTCCAACAATTTCGCACATTAATATTGAATTTTTAATCATTTAACAAAATATAGTTATATTTAAAACATTATAAAGTTTTTATAAGATTTTTTACTTATGTGATAATATAAATTATATCATAATAAAAGAAAAATTAACCTCATATGAAATTCTATACATAATTAAAATAATAAGTTATCAAATTTTATGATTTTACTAAAATTATGAGTGTATCGTTCAGTTCTTTCTCCCCTTGATTTGACAATCCTTTCGTTTTCTTCCTTCACAATTATAATATACATATATATATATATATATATGGATGTTATTATAGCCCCACATACCATCGTTTTTTAAATCCATACTTATCCTATCTGGGCTAGTAATATTCACCATAAACATGTATGTACGTGTGTATATATATATATATAAATATATACGCATGAAATTTTGAAGTCAGAGCTCTAAAGTCAAGTCAAATTATTCTAGATCATCAACTCAAAAGAAAGAAAAAAAAAAAAAGGATCTAGATCGTATTCTTTTCTTGATAACGAAACAATGTAATTGCAACTGATCTTCAACAAGATCATGACTAATCTTGTTTGTCAAGAAATTGGGGGACCGCGTCTACTCTTAACGGGAAGTTTCTAGGGGAAAAAGAATGTTGCAGATTCCATTAATTTCCATCACTTTCAATATAATATAATATAATTAGATGTGTTCAAGTTCTGGTTTAAATTAAAAAAATTATATATGATTATATTAAATTATTTAGTCTAATCCTTAGCTCAAGCAATAAAGAATCAAAAACTTTGATCCTACTATTATTTGAACCAAAATAAATAAAATTTAAAAAATCATTAGTTCTAGAAAATGAAAATATAACACCCGGACCTAAAAATTTGTTCGGGATAATTTTACAGATTATAGAATATATATATAAATAATTAAAAAAATTATTTTAATTTAATTTAATTTAATTTTTGAGAAAAAATGAATTAGAGACGAAATTAAAATTAATTTTAAGAAAAAAGAATGAAAATTTGAGTTCAGATATGTTTTTGAAAGAAAAATTAAAAATATGGGTCAAAGTGCAAATAGAAAAAGTTTGGTCATGTAGGACCGCCCAGTCAGCAACCTTGACGAACCAGAGTGCGCCACGTGGCCAGGTGCGCCACGTCGGCGCCATGCGGGAGGGCACATTAGCAATCTGCGTGCTCCGCGATTAGATGGCCCAGGATCCCGTGTGTGTGGACGTCCTAGATTTGTTTCCACCTTATGTGCGATTGGACGGTCGAGATTAATCGCGACGAACGGTTCGTTTCCTCCTTAGGCATGATCGAACGGATAAGATCGATCGCGACAGACGGTTCAGATTAACATGAGATGGATATAAATATTTTGCATTACACGAAACTCAAACCCTAGTTTCTAGCCCTGCCTCTAACAGAGAAGAAGGACCAGACGCTAAAGAAGGAGGCCGACTGCCGACGCATCGGAGCCACCTCTGACCGCCAAAAATAGTAAAGATTCTCCTATCCGCTTAGACTTCGATTTCGAGCACCTTTGTGGGCATATCAGAGCAAAATGAATGGCGGGTCAGCCGAAAACTGCGAGCAAAGCCCGGTAGGACCGCCGCAGCCCAAAACTCGCAACCTCCTCCGATGAGCCCTTTCCCAGTTCTCGTTTCATACGATTTTTTCACAATTGTGTTCACTGTTATATTTTCTGCAGGTTGACAGAAGGAGGAATCCCAGCCGTGAAAGAGAGCCGGTGGCGCTGCCGTACCCAGAAACCTCACCACCGATAGGTTTCAGTTTCCTGATTTTTTTTGGGCTAATCGAGGCTCCATAACGTATTTTTCGCAAGGATACATGTAAAGTCGGTCGAAATCGGCCTAAATCGACTAATAACGGCCAGGCTGAGATAAACCACCGCCACTAGCAGCGGTGTTGATGCTAGAGCACGGCGACACTGCCATGCCGGAATCCCGAAATTGGCTGAAAATGATTTTTAACACCGATTTTGGATTTTTGAGGTATTTTTTTTAGGTACGTATAACGTGTTTAATCTCCGTAAGAAAATTCTAGAAACTCGGAGACCGCAAGAAAGCGCAGTAGAAAGTACGTTGTTTCGAATACTGATTCGGGTAAGAATCCATCACCCTATTTCCTGTTATAGAATTGAAGCTTAATAATCAATAATATGATATTTTGTAAAATTTAGAAAACTTTAGGAATAATTACAGGTTATTAATGGAGCTAGAACTAGTTAGTTATTGATTTGTCCTGTTTAACTGATTATTTACTTGTATAGCTTTAAATACATGATAATATATTGAAATAGTTAAATGATTCAGTTGTGTTTCCTTGATATATATATCGCTAGCTTTACGTAATTTACGGTTGATTGTGAAATGTGAAATTAATATATAAATAGGAAATTATTTGATGATGTGAATTAGTAAATGATTATCTTACTGGATATCGTAGAAGATGGTGGACGGATCAGGTACATAGGGAACCCTACTATGAATGTTACCTCTTACCGGACGGGCTATCGAGGGATGATATTTTTGGTGCTCATACCGACAGGGTATGAAAATAGCTCGGTTCACCCTCATACCGAACAGGGTATCGAGGGATGACATTTTTAGCGCTAATATCGAACGGGGTATGGGGACGGCCTGTTAATTGACAAGTTTAAATATTAGGTTCACACGTAGGGAGGACATTCATATGGACCCCTAAAGGTACCAGTAAGCAGATAAAAAGAAAAGTTATTATTCTTATTCGCTTGTATAATAAATCATAATGTTATTTGAGTTATTGTCTTTATAGATCGATTTTGGAAATCTCATAATGGTAAGTATGCAATAAATAATTTTTTTTATGATAAATAAACTTACTTAAATTAAGAACACCATTAATCGTTTTATATTTTTTTTACTAACCTTCAGTTTTCATATCAATGAATAGTGTGGTATTCTTATTGGGTTAGTATAGCTCATACCTATTAACCATTTCAAATTAAAAAAATCAAGATCCAGATCCTAATCAGCAGGAGGGCTATGAGTAGGTGTCCCTTGAATTCTGTCAAGAGCTAGTGGAGGTTAACCTCCCTATAACATTTATTTACTATTTTCATATGTTTATTTTATTTTTTAATGAACCACTATGAAAAGAACATTTCCGTAACTCTATTGGGCATTCAAATTTATGTATAAGGAATGTAAATCCTAACGTTATCATACACATCTGTATCTTTATTTCAAATTTATTTTACCTAGGATTTGAGTCTCTATAGTTGGTATCAAAGTCGCGTTCCTCAGAACCATTCCTTACACAAAGACTTAAAAATACCAAATACGAAACTATTACTCAACTTTTTCTTGTTAAATGCATGTACAAGAAATAAGGAGAGGAAGACCTCCACTAAACCGAGCAGTCTGCGATGGCTCACTTCAAGAAGATGTCGACTGACTTTTTGAGATGTTGGAGAGACTCATCTCTGCCCAGCAGGCCCAGGAGGAAATGAGGGAGCTTTTTGACCCTCATCTGCTGCCACAATTTGAGCCATCTTTACAGTATGAAGATCATAAGCCACCCCGGTACAACCTTGCTCATTTATCGTACTATCTAGCAACACCAAAGTACAATCTGGTACCTCCACCATATTATCCGACACCACCACAGGGTCACTCGATCCCTCCCCAGCACAATCCAGTTCCTCTTCCACGGGACTCAATTCCACTCATGATGGATTCAAGCTACATTGAGAAGTATAAGAGACTAAATCTATCTATCTTTGCAGGGGCATCCTCTTTTAAAGAGGCTGAGTTTTGGTTAGTTGAAACAGAGAAGGCCTTTGTGACTATTAGGATGGTTCCCGAATGAAAGGTTATACTTGCTACCTACATGATTGTAGGAGAGGTCGGCTGCTGGTGGTAGCTCAAGCAAACCACTCTCTCTGTTTCAGTCACTTGGGAACAGTTCTTGATGGTCTTCAATGTAGAGTACCTGCTAGAGGACCTCCGACATTTAAATGAGATGGAGTTTGCAC